TGGCCGTTTTTTTTTATCTTCAATTGAGAGCATTCTAATGTTCATTTTGTCTCATTCCAAGGGAGACATTTCTTGTATCCAGCGAGATCATTTTTGCTTTGTCGAATTGGCAAATCTCCTCAAAATCTGCTCAAATAAAGATACATTTTGCAAATATTGAGACATTTTTTTACTTATTCTTTTAGCTTCTGAGATCTGGGCAAACCTTTCCAACACATGGAATAACACATGCATTACAAAGTCATCACAGTGATCGAGGCTGCAGTTAGTGGTAACGCTGAACTCATTACACGTGTCGTATCTACTTTTAAACGGCTCTTAATGAGGAGGATGTGAGCGTTAAATGCACACACGTGTTTATAGAGACATTACACTCGAACAGGCATCCAACCACCGCCCACAATGTGTTTAAGGTGAAGTGAAGTCATTACAGAGACAGGCAGCTTCAAATCAAACTCTCAAACAAACACAACTCTTCAAATGATCTGAACTGGGCATTTTTTGATCAGTATAATGTTGGATTTTTGAAGAATCTATGTAGTTCTGTATTGGACCCTAACTCAGTAATTAATGCATCGATTTTATATAGCGCTTATTTGGACACTCAAAGATGCTTCACAAGTTATTATTCATTCACTTCATACACGGTGGTGATAAAATACTACAGTAGCCACAGCTGCCCTGGGGCACACTGACAGAAGCGAGGCAACCAGTATATGCCATCAGCTCCTCTGACCACCACCAACCATTCACACACACATCATTCAAGGCAATGGGGGTGAAGTGTCTTAAGGACACAACGGCAGTCTGGCACTAGGATTACCTGAACATATATTGGCAGAAAACCAAATTGTAATTCAGAAACATGTTTTTTTGTGTGTCTTTTATTGATTTTTACAGCAGTGAGATAAGATATGTTTTTGTGTAAGTGTTTATAGATATGACCAGTTTTGCCACATACAAAAGAAAGTATTTCATTTGGTTGATTGAAGTACCTTTTAAATACCATCATTTCCAACTATATATACAGTAGCTATTTTTCTTTTTCTTTTTTAAACCCTGCTTGTTTTTATTGTGTTAGAGCTATCAAAGCCCAGTTAATGGACTTATTATTTTTATAGGACACTTCTGTATTGTTAAAATAGACCATAGTGAATGAGAAGCAGCACAGAAGCTAACATTTAAATTGTTAAACATCAAATCATGTTGGGTCCAGTTGAAACAGTCTTTGCTCTGCTAACATACAACATGAAAACCTGCGGCTTATATTCAAGTGCGGCCTATATGTGGACCAAAATTAACTTTCTTCCAAAGTTCAGATAAACCTTTTCTCGTGGAGAAATGTCTATGTCATCATATGCGTTTTTCTTATAACTCTCTAAGATTTCTTTGTATCATTTTTGGCTCTTAATCATAATCTGAATACAGTCTACTGGATTTAGATCAAAATCTCACATGGAATTTCTTATTGAAGGTATGCAGTTATACATTGTTAGTTGTAAAGGTAGAAACCAGGACTGACAACAAACTATGGCTTTTTTAGTTCCGTATTCCATTTTCTACTGTCAAAAACTGTGATACAAAAATGAACACAGAGTCCACAGAAATCAGCCCATGATCAGAAAGGCGAGGACTGTTTGAGCCTTAAAACAGTTTTGCCGGAGAAGCTTCCCCGTGTTTTGTGGACTTGGTGTGTCTGTAAAATGTGTGAATAACTTTGAACAATATATTGGGAAAAAAAAAAGCTATGGCTGTTTTCCCTCCGTGTCACTATTTCTAATGAAACAGCTTTGTCTACGCATTCTTCCAACAAAAACTAATTGTTTATGTTGCACACTCATCTGTTATAAATAAGGCTTTGGTTTTGGTTCGTTCTCTTAAGTTTTTTAAACATGTCACCAGCAGTTTTATGGCAGCTGTAACAGGGAGTTTATGGCCTTGTTTACTACTATTGGCATCTTGGTGAAAGGGCTAAAACACAGAGGAGAATGAAAATGCTTACAATATGTGTTAAATCCATAAATGAGAATATTAAATGGGATTAAGATACACAGTTTTCTTAGTTGTTTTTCTCACCATGAAAGGAAAAACTTCTTGCTGAGAGGCGAGAGTGCTATCCACTCAGCCAACGTGCCACCCCCTTTATTGTTTCTCTAACTAGTTCTTTTGTGTATGAACTGTGCTATATAGATAAACTGACTTTGCCTGGCCTCGCCAACAAGTCCAGGCTCTTCCCCCAGGACCTGTGTAACCAAATATAGTTGAGTTAATAAGATGAACACAAACGATTTTCTGTCTTTAAGCAGAAATGTGTATGCTGTGTCATGCATTGGAGTCTTCTCGTAAGAACTAGGTCTTTCACAACGTCATGAACTGAAAACGTGACTTGGATAACTCTGGATTTTGTAAAAGTATCAGTGCATTCCTTTGGTCTGATGTCATTTCTTTTCTGGGTCCTTATGTCACTCAGTTCAGTTTTTCTGCGTCTGATGTTTTTATTAAAAGCAACTGGAACATGTCAAAATTAGGCAAATACATCATTGGGATTCCAGTTTTCATTCAGTCAAATTGTTCTATTGATGTATGGTAACATTTATAGACTTCCGAATCGGCAAGGAACGATTCAGGAGAAAACCCAGTGGGATAAAAGAACGGCCAGGCGAAAATCTGAAAATGTATCAGTCATCTCTCCACTGCAAAAAGTGAAGAAAAACACGTCAACATTTGCAGAGAAAATATTTTATCATTTATTCATGCTTTCTACTTTTCTAGCTCGATTGGTCTTGTGGAAGTCATTATCACTGAAACTTGCCCCAAAACTTGGTTTTGTTTCCTTAATCGGTTATTTCAGTACAGGATCTGTATTGTACAGTATACAGTATGTTTAGTTCTTTAATAGGGTTGTTGTGCAGTATAACTAATCTAAAGGACTGTTGAAACAAAGACACCAATCCCCACAAGAGAACATACTTGCGTTTACATGCATATAATACTAACAATACAAAACAATTAACTGTTCATGTTCCACCATTCTGTTCTCTGGTCTAGCTGTCAGACATCAAGGCTCTCGAAGGCCTAACACCAGAGCCTCTGTCAGTGGGGACTGTCTGGTTCCTAAGTCCGGAACGTTGTAGGGACAGTCCAGCTTTTCCTTCAATGGAGCCAAACTGAGCTAAAACTACAAACAGACTTAAACATCCTCGTCAGGCGTCTGAAACAGTGGCTGAAATCGGAGCAACGTTGTTCACATGGTCAATGAACTGTATATTTCATTACTTTTATATTTGTTAATTCTAAATGTGTGTATATGTGTCTTATAAGCCTTCTATGGGCTGTGTTGAAGTGTTGAAAATAAGCATGGTCTTACTATAACACTCTGGTCTGTCCAATGTAACTGTTGAGTCTTTATAAAAAAAATACAACAAAAATCACCTTTTTAATCTTAGAAACCAGGTTACTGTACCTCATCAAAAAAAAGACCTGGGGTGGTTTTAAGCTCCATCCATGCTAAGATGTCAGCCGGACTATCCTGGTTCAGTCCCTATTGTTACGACAAATCCTCAGACTATGACATAAAGAACAGACAATTTTCTGCCTTTTAAAACAAAAGCATTGTCTCCAAATAACTTTGTTTACAACAGCGTGACTTTAATCACTTTGCATCATGTTCTTCTTTAATAGATGTGGGTCTCACTAATCCTCATCTCTTCTGTTTCCATCAGACCAGGGAGGTCCAAACCAAACCAGCCGTGTCATTGTATGTGGCGCTCAATCTTCTTTTAGATCAGAATCACACAATCATAGTGTCATCCAGCCAACTTCAGCTCTGTCAATATGAGCCAGCTGTACCGCTTTGTAAAGATCCTGGAACAATCTGGAATCCAGTCGTTTACTTTAATTGTATATACTGACATTCACAATCTTCCATATATTGCGCTAATGTATGGTAGTTCTGTCAAATGTGATTCAAAGTAGGCACGTCTTTTTAAAGCTGAGAACATTGAGAATCCAGTTCAAGGTTCAACTTCATCGTCCTCTCAGGGAAATGTGTCTTAGGCTCAGAGTGCTGCTGGACACAAACATACATGACACTCTCAGCATCAGGACAATCGGCAACATCTACATTTTCTACTAAAGAATATGCGGCCAAATAAGTGCAAAGATTCAAATCAATTTACTAGTAAAATACCACAATTCTTTAATTTATAGTTAACAGCTTAAACAGTTTTACAGTTTTACAAGCCTGTGGTCAGTCCAGGGGTTAGGGTGAGTCTTGTAAATTAAAGTGGTCCTCTTTTCACAATTAGTATCCTATTTTTTGATATATTTTACAAAAAAGGGGTATAGATTACAATGTTGATCAAGAAAAAAACATTCAAGTAAAATCAAATAATACAAATCATATTAGATGAGTAAATAAAAAAAAATGTCATATTTCTTAAAGTCAATCAAGGTTCCCACATCGCTTCAAAGTGCGTTGTCTTGCCCCTTACAACATGTGTTAACTTCTCTAGAGTAACACACAATGTCTTGACTCAGGACTGTGCAGTAAAGTGGTCGTCTCACTTTAACCTTTCCCAACCTTTTTGAGCCGTGGTTCACCTTAATCATTTAAAATAATCACATGGCACACCACCAGCAGAACTGACACAGAAATTAAACTTTGTAGATTTTATTAACAATGCAAAGTCATTCTCATCCAAGTGTTTTGTATAGTAAATCAAACAAGGACAAAAGTCTATTTAATCTCTTTAAATCTGTTTCTTTTTTACATTATCTTGACCAATTGGGTGATATTGGATCATTTCCATAGGTACACCGAACAACGCCCCAAGGCACGCCAAGTGTCACGGTTGGAAAACACTGGTCTAACTAATAAGTCTGTACACCCTTGCATCAGACTATGCATCTCCGTGTTTATACAGGAGCCCAAAACACAAACAACTAATGCAGCACATTTGTAATTTTAACATTTTAACATAATACTATTTTTCTCGCAGGTTTCAAAGAGAGCGCATTCGCCTACGCCATCGCCGCGGCCGGAGTGGTCCATGCCGTGGCCAACGCCTGCTCCATGGGGAAGCTGAAGGCCTGTGGCTGCGACGCCAAACGCCGCGGGGACGAAGAGGCTTTCCGGCTCAAACTGCACCGGCTGCAGATCGAGGCCATCCACCGGGGGAAGGGCATGGTGCACGGGGTCATGGAGCACTTCCCCGCCGAGCTGCCCAGCGCCCAGGACTCGTGGGAGTGGGGCGGATGCAGTCCCGACGTGGAGTTTGGAGAGAAGTTTTCCAGAGACTTCCTGGACTCGCGGGAGACGTACAAAGATATCCACGCCAGGATGAGGCTCCATAACAACAAAGTGGGCAGACAGGTGGGTCCGACTGTGTTGACGACGACGAGTGGACTAGTCATTTGAACACATGCTAGCTGGAGCCAATTTCCTTATATGGGCATTTGTTTTGACATCGTTAGCTTTGCGTGACGTAACAGAGGCATGAGTGTTGCTGAGATGGTTGCAAAAGCAAGCTGGAGTTTCCACGTGAATGAAGGGATCTGATTAGTCAATCCTTATGTCAAAGACTATATCAAAATACAAACACCAAGATCACAGAGAGCACTACACCAACAATTTTTTAAGCCAAAATGGTGAATTTGACAGAAACGGTTACTGAGCGAGAGGAGCTTACTTGTCAATGTAAGTCAATACGTGAGTGACTTGGAGCAAAACTTTGAAAAGTACTTCCCAATTGGGCTTGATTGAACTAGGGGGTTAGCATTGTCCATCTGTATACAGTCTATGGTCACTGCCCCTTGTTTTTTCATAAAAGGGGACTTTGACTCGAGTGTAACTTAACTGGCGTAATACAGAAGGGAAAATTACTATAACATGGTCAAAACCTGTGAAAAGTCAACTTTGCCATTGCCACTGTATGTATTTTGTCCCCAACGAGAGTATTTGTATTACACCATGTCAAATCCAAACTTACAGCCTCTGAGTGAACAGCTGGTGTGCTGTGACTGGCACATCCTTCTTTCACTGTGGGTTTAGTCATATTTAAAAGGATTTTGACCCGTCTTTACGTGTCACACTACTGCAGAGGCCTCCCCACACTCACCGTATGTCTTTCTAATCACAGACACATCGGGAATTCCCCCGTAACAAGTCTTTTATCTATAGGTTTTCTTCTGCATTGGCCCCGGGGAGAACACGTGGCGCGATCGTGGGTCGACTTGCTTTTGGTGAAGCCGTTTTACGCATGCATTTGGGTGCGTTACAGGAGTCATTTTTGGAAAGCTATAGCCTATTCCAGCATATTTATATAATTATGTGCCAAATATTTAATTGTTTGTCCTTGTTCTTAGTGGTTATTTCGCTTTAATCACATTTCCGTGTACACAATCTGAGTGTAATAATTTAATAGTATTAAGGTCAGCAGCAACTATACATATGTCTGTTTTTGCAGACATTTTGTTCTGGGAAACTAAATTCTGCACTTTGGAAACTCAATTCTGCACAAACTGATTAGGAAACTGATAGAATTAGAAATAATTGGAAGAATTAGAAATAATTAGTTTTATTCTTGCAGCAATAAAACGTCAAAGTCAAGAAATGACAAACCAGACGATAGCATGTAGTAAAACCATACATTCATATATCTTTGGCATTCCTGTGGCAAAACAATTTTTTTATAGTTTTACTGGCGCAATTTTTTAGCGTAATTACTGTATATATTTTTACACATATAATACACATTCTAGATGAATAGAAGAATGGTTTGTTGTGTAATAAAGCTGATGGGGTAGTTAGAGTGGTTAGAGACGCCATGTCCCCTTAAAAAAAAAAGAAGTGTGTCAAATTATACGTAAGTATTTGTATAAACAGTACAAACCAAAAGTTTAGACACACTTTCTCATTCAATGAGTTTCCTTTATTTTCATGACTATTGACTGTAGATTCACACCAGGTTGTGTAAGGGCTGTTTGACCAATAAGGAGAGTGATGGGTGCTGGGCCAGATGACCTGACCTCCAGTCACCGGACCTGAACCCAATCCAGATGGTTTTTGAACTCTTTCAAGACTGTTGGAAGACCATTTCAGGTCTTGAAGGAATTTTTCACCTCTTGAGGCTCATAAAGCTCATAAAGATAATGCCAAGAGTGTGCGAAGCAGTAATCAGAGCTAAAAGTGCTACTTTGAAGAACCTCGAATACATGATATATTTTCAATTGTTTCATACTTTTTTAGAATGTACATAATTCAATAATTAGTCAATTGTCATTAAAAACTCTGTGAATGAGAAGGTGTGTACAAACTTTTGGTCTGTACTGTATGTATTTTTCCTTTGACTTTTTGTGTATACTTTATTTTGTAGGATTTGGTGCAATTTAATGACTTTTTGATCTCAAATACATTTCCCCATCCCATTAGGCCCATTAGGCCTTGTGGTCTTAACAAGATGTGTAAGAATTTATTTTCAGTTCATTTTATTTATGCGTAGTCCTAATTCACCTCAGGCAACTTGAGCAAATTGTCAAACTGCCAGCAGCCCAATAGAGAATCAAACAATTATACAGTTGCATGTATTAAGTCTTTGGCCTAAGTCTGAGTCAAGTCCATACACATGTTACAACAAGGGCTTTTTTTCCTTTTTATTCAAACTTTTTGTGAATAGAGAAACATTGAAGGTATTTTTCCAATTTGCAAAACAGGGCAGGAAATCTAACTGTAACCCTTACCTAGTCACAGAGCAACAAGTCAAGTCTTGAATCACTGACCTTCAGACCCATTTTGAGTCTCAATTCTTGGTCTATTTAGTCCATCATTGCTTGGAACAACCCAAAACCCAGATAGAACCATGTCATTCTAAGGGGATTGAACTTTGTAAAATTTGGGATGAAAGCTCTCATTGGGGCCGAGTCCTAAAAACCTCTCATTGTTTCCCGTTTCCTCTGAAGTAATTGGTGCTTTTGTTGTATCTCTCCATCAGTTTATTTCTGCTGCGCCTGATTATTTAGACTAAACACAAACGAGGAGTGCGTCAGATGTGTTTATTAGCAGATGCATTCTACTGTAGCCACGAGGAGAAGGGGCAAGATAGTTGGTGTGTATATTGTAACCTCACAGAAAGTCACTTATTATCCAACCCTGCCTGTGTAACCCATCTTATTAAAGCTAAATGGTGCTAATTCCCATTGGGACTGGCGCCGGCTCCAGGGAGTTTGGTATCACATGGTGTAGGAGGGTCATTACTAGTTTTTAAAGATGGCGGTTCACATACAGGAAGGCATGGGGGATGCTATGTATGTATAGAGCTGCTGCAGTAGTCTACGCAAGAGTGACAGGCTGGATTATTCACCTCGAATTGGCCGAGTCTTTTCTTTGCTCTGATACTACATCACAATTTATGGCGATCTGAGCCCAGAACAGAATATTACAGGGATATGTATGAGGAAATATGTGGCAAGTTATGGTGGCGAGCTATGGTGGCGAACTATGGTGGCGAGCTACTGTATAGTGGTGAGCTATAGTGGCGAGCTATGGTGGCGAGCTATAGTGGTGAGCTATAGTGGCGAGCTATGGTGGCGAGCTATAGTGGCGAGCTATGGTGGCGAGCGATAGTGGTGAGCTATAGTGGCGAGCTATAGTGGTGAGCTATAGTGGCGAGTTGGGGGACTGAGTGGGTTTTGGGGTTCGGGGTTCCCAGCTTACGTACTCACCTTTTACTACTGCTAGCAATCCTTTGTGTATGGTATAGGGTCACACCTGGTGCATGTATACTCTTTGGACCAGCTAGCCTTTTAGAGTTCTCATATCGGTTCAAACGTTAGCTACAATATTAGTAGTAAGTAAGTAATCTTTATTTATATACCGCCTTTTCACTGCACATCGGAGTCTCAAAGCGGTTTACAATTGTTGTTTTTGGGAGTGTGGGTCGGCAGTACAGGAGGCACATGCCAGACCTATTGTACATATTTTTAGTGGTAGGGGAAACCGGAGCACCCAGAGGAAACCTACGCAGACACGGGGAGAACATGCAAACTCCACTCAGAAAGGCTCTGGTCCAACCGGGATTCGAACCCAGGACCTTCTTGCTGAGAAGCGAGAGTGCTATTCACTCAGCCAACGTGCCGCCCAATACAGTAGATTAAGATTAAGATTAAAATGAAGAGAAGCGGCTATTTTTAGCGGCTATTTTTCAAAGTGTAGTCATACGGGACATTTCCCCACTGTCTCACTGCTGTAGTGGTGAGCTATAATGGTGAGCTATAGTGGCGAGTTTGGGGAGTGAGCGGGTTGTGGGGTTCCGTACTAAATACATTAAATTTAAATCTCTAACTTTAGCATAGAAAAGAAGCAAGTACAAAACCTCTAGCTTTATCATGTAGTATTTTCACCATTGGACAAAACCCAATTATCTAGTTAAGTTTTTGTTTTTATAGATTGGAAGTATTGCTGTGTTCTGAAATGAAACGTTTATTTTAATTGCAATACAGTTTTTTACAGCTATGCCAGCCCTCACAATAACAACATTAATATATTTCATGATTGAAGTGATGACACGTTGTAATAAAGGCCTCATGACTAAGTATGTATTGTGAGTACTTCTTGTGAGTACTTTTTTTAAGTACTTCTTGTGACCTTAAGAGGCAGTTTTGGGCTCTATATTCCATCTCTTTAACTATAGAAACATGAGGTCTTAATGTGTCCTTTGTATCTAAAGTCCTTGTTGATTCAAACTGAAGTGAGACATCTTTCATCCTCTGATTTCCCTGTCTTCCTGCTCTGACCTGCGGCAAAAATAGTAAATACTGTTTATCAAAACAAAGACCTCACAGCAGCAGGATACACTGCTGACAGATCCTGTGTTTGGCCAATTACAGGGATACTGCTACTGCTACTGCTACTACAACTGCTACTGCTACTGCTACTACTACGGCTGCTACTGCTTCTGCTACTACGACTGCCACTACTACGACTGCCACTACTGCTACTGCCACTACTACTACTGCTACTACTACTGCTACTACTGCTGCTACTACTACTGTTTTTACTGCTACTGCTACCACTACTGCTACATAACTGCTACTGCTGATATGTAGATTTTATATGTATTTTATTGCATGCACTGAGAGCCAAAGACATTTACTCCTATTAATACAACTACTCCTACTCCTACTTCTACTTCTGCTACTACTGCTACTACTAAAAAAGCCATCCGGAATCATAGATCATTCATGACCAAATGTTTTTGTGTGGCTTCTTTTCAAATCCCTTTCACATTCACAAAGACAATTCCACATGAGTCAAGTTGTCTGAAGGCTAATTTAGGATGTGCACAGGCCGTAGAAACAGACAAATGTCAGAGATGG